AACAATTGCATTTAAGGCACCTACTGGTTCAGTCTGGTCCGCATCGTCTGAGTCGTCATCAGTCCAGTCACGACCCATTTTCCGTAATAGGTCATGATGGCGCCCGACACCATTGTCAGGCCAGCCAACGCGGAAGTGTAATTTAAGTCCTCATTTTACTTTTACCAAAAACTAATTATAACAGATTTTCAAAGTTACGTTAAGGCCAAGAGTGGTAAATAAGGTATCAAAATAGTTATACAACCCAAAAATAAATGTCTAGTAACGTGTGTGTGCCAGAACCTGGTGTCACAAGCTACGGACAGCTAGTAGAATATACAACCAAAAGAATACTACACTACCCTACTGTATGGATCAGAATAGACAGAAATAACAGTACAAAGAGAGACTTCTTCGGCTGCGGATCGACATGGAGGGAAAAGCAGCTCACCGTAGAAGTCCCAAGCCTGCTCACAGCTGCGCACCAGAGAAATAACCGGATCCACCTGCCTCAGACCCTGTACATTTAAGTACAGAAGCGTAGCATGAGTACATAAATAATATGTACCCAGTAAGTATCCCGCCTAACCTCGAAGGAGTAGAGACGAGAGGTCGACTTGACACTCACTAGGGCCAAATAATATCATAAGTTTAAGTTAACAATAAAAGTCCATAACAGGCAACAGTTTACAACTAGGCATATAAATCATATTCTCGCTGAGATTCCAATTAATCATTTACTTTATTCACAATTATCAGTTCCTTTCGAGTCATGAAAGTGAAATTCTAAGAGTTAACAGACTCAGGCAAAGCTATAAAAGCATGCGCAAATATGCCGAGGCGACGACCCGATCCTACAGAAATAAACTGTGCACTTGCCGAGGGTCGACGGCGCGCCTATAGATGCATTTATTCATACCGAGGCGATCGGCCCGATCCACAAATAAGTAGGAATACCAAGTATACACACAAGGCACATCAATAGGCATAATTGCCAAGCAAGACTCCAACATTTATACAAGTACGTTCTTATTCCCTTTTTAAAATCCCTAGCATATCCTAGGTGCTCATAGTAACAAGATATTAAATAGAGTCATGTGAAATAAGCATGATGTGGGTCCTAAGCTACCCGGACCATTGACATAGTAGTAGCTACGCACGGACTCTCGTCACCTAGCGCGTGCGTAGCCCCCGCATTTAGCACAATTATTCAATTATTAATCCTATAGGGACAGTTCCCCCTCACAAAGTTAGAGAGGAGACTCACCTAGCTCCAAAATGCGCTCCCGAATATCAAGAACAAGCCCAAGCTCTTAATTCGAAGCCGAACGATCGCAAACTAGTTAAAATAGATAAGAACTAGTCAATAAAGGCTCAAAAGGCCGAATTCTAACCATTTAAGTAATTTCCCAACCTTTCCCACAAGTTTTCTAAATTCCGACCCCGGGCCCACGCGCCCGGATTCCGAGATTTTTCGAAGGAAATTGTTCTCTATGCCCTAAGGATCGATAATATATGATTTCTAGTTCATTACATAGTAAATTACATGATTAACTCTTAGTTTTACCAAAACCCTAGGTCTAGCTCTAACCCTTGATTTTTACTTAATTTCTAGTGTTTAATCTATCTAATGTTCATGTATTTAAGCTAAGGGAGAGTGGAAATTACTTACCTTGTGATGATATGTGGAAACCCTCTCTTTTGGAAGCCCCAATTTCGCCCAAGTGTGGAGAAGAATGTGAAATAAATGCACCTAAGTTCGAATTAAAAGAGTTCACTGCCCAGCGATTTCCGCTTCTGCGGTTTGGGGACCGCACCTGCGGTCCCGCACCTGCGGAAATAAGGCCGCATCTGCGGCTCTGGGCTAAGGGAGGCTGGACCGCATTTGCGGTCTGAGAAGCGCTTATGCGGAACCGCTTCTGCGGAAATAAGGCCGCATCTGCGGCTTCCTAGGGCCTGACTTGGGCCGCTTCTGCGATCATTTGACCGCATCTGCGGTCCCGCTTCTGCGGTCCTTGAACCGCATATGCGGTTATGACAGAAGCAGCAACCTTCAGCCTTTTCTCAACTTTCTAACTTCACTCGAGCCTCGGTCATTTGACGCTCGGGGCTCCCGAGCCCCGCCCGAACATACCGACAAGTCTGAAATCACGAGGCGGACCTACTCGAACCCTCGGAACTCCCAAAACAACGCTAAATCTTATAATCACCCCCTAAAACCAAATGAATCAAACTATTGAATCCTTAAATTCTTAATTCTCCTCTAACGGGTCAAAACGCCCTTAAACTACTCGGATTGACACCAAATCTTACGGGCAAGTCTTAAATGACATTACGGACCTGTACCAAGCTTCGAAACCAAAATCCGAGCCCGATACCTAGGGAATCAATGATTTCTTAGTTTCTTGAATTCTTTAAAGCTTCCATTAAACAATTTTAAATAAAAATTCATTACTCGGGCTAGGGACCTCGGAATTCGATTCCGGACACACGCCCAGGTCCCATATTTTCCCACGGACCCTCAGAAATTGTCAAATCATAGATCCGGGCCCGTTTTCCCAAAATGTTGACTGAAGTCAAACTTGGTCTTTCAAGAAATCCTAAAGAAGCAAATGGGCATATTTTTACTCAAAACTCTACCAATCCCCGAACCAATCGCCCCCGCAAGTCGTAAACTAGTTAAAGCAAGTACAGGAGGCTTTATATAGGGGAAAGGGGTTCAAAAAGGCTAAACGACCAGTCGGGTCGTTACAAGTCCCATCATCAATAGCCTGATGGGCGTTCATCTGTGCATGTGGGCACTCATTGTCCCAATGTGGTCCGCCGTAATGACGACATCTGGAAGGAGGCTTTCTCCCCCTATCATTGTTGTTTGACGCAACACTGTTGCTGCCTGAGGAAAGAGCTTTAGATTTGGTTGAGTTCCGATCTCCCCCACTTCTGATAGGGCCACCATTGCTAGGCTGGCCCCCTTTGAATCCCGCTCGGGCAGGCGGCTGAGGCCTATCCTTCCGAGCTTCCATTTGATAGTCCCCAAGGCATTCAGCTGCTTGGATCGCCTTGGGCAGGGTATCTACCCTTTGTCTTTGTAGCTCCACACGGGCATAAGGTTTCAACCCTTCCAGGAAGGTGAAGAGCTTGTCCTTGTCCCCCATGTCGCGTACGCTTAGCATGAGCGCGTAGAATTCCCGTACGTAGTCCCGCACTGATTTGGTCTGGCGGAGCTCCCGTAGCTTCCTCCTTGCATTGTATTCAACATTTTCGGGTAAGAACTGTAGGCGTATGGCTGCCTTCAGTTTGGCCCATGTCTCGAGAGCATCTTCACCGGCCCTGATGGCTTCGTACTTCACCCGCCACCAGAGTTTAGCATCACTCTGAAGATACATGGCAGCAGTTGCTACCTTCTTAGCTTCCTCCAGGCCCCCAACAACATCGAAATACTGTTCGACGTCAAAGATGAAGTTCTCCACTTCCTTGGCATTCCTAGCTCCACTGTATGGCTTTGGCTCAGGAATTTTCAGTTTTTGTGTCGCGGAAGCGGGGTTCACAGCGCCCCTGATTTGGTTTCCACCTCCTCGAAGTAGGCCCTGTAAAGCAGCATTGACAACATTGAGCTGGTCTGTCAATTTGTTAACAGTTTGTTGCATGACAGTCACCCTGTCTGCCTCTTGTGCCCTGTAGGCTAAATCCTCGGTGCGCTCTTGTTAGAGTCCCACGAATTTATCAAAAATTTCGGCTGCCTCTGTGGCTGCCGTCTGCCGGTCTCCCTCGGAGTCGCAACTATTTTCTATGTCAGCTTCGGCCTGGAGTACTCTGCAGTCCAGGTCGTCCAACCTTTGCACTAGGCTGGTTCTTAGTTCAGGCACCTTATCCACGATAGGCCGTAATACCTCAACCGTCTCTTCAAGGGCCGCAATGCGGTCCCCATGATTCACCATGGTCAGAAATGGTGGTAATGTCAATGCGTTCCCTCGTCCGATGTCGAGCCTAAGCTCTGATACCAACTGTTACGCGGCGCCTTCCTGAGATTCCTTGGAAGGGCGACGTAAGGCTAAACAACTGATGTCAGTGCAGTTATGGACGCCAACTGAGGTCCCCTGCGCTAGACTAGATTGTCAGTGCCGTACGGGAAAACCAATGTCAAGAGTAATTGAGAGAACAGAAATGAGAATTGAGAATGAAAGAAAGCCTAATTGCATTAATGAAAGCTATTACAGAAAAGCAACGCGGTGTCGAGGGGGAGAGACACCAGTACAGAGAATTAATTACTTGCTAGAAAGTTTGATTGCTTGATCCCCCTAATAATGCTTAAAAAAAATAATCCAAAACTACAAGACTAGACTTGACTAAGCTAGAGAAACATAATGGAAGTACATGAAATAAAACTACTCTATATTTACAATGATAATGACTTAGTTTTCTATAAGGCAGCAGCAGGTCCGTTGTCAGCAGCAGTGTCTTTGGCATCACGGTCTGCGCGCGCGACGTTGTCTGCGCGCGCGGCGCTGTCTGCGCGCGCGGCGCTGTGGCATCTGCTTGCGGCTTGGTGCTTGCGAGGGATATCGGTGGGGCGACAGAGGCACCTGCGCGCTTGTCACTTGGCACGGCCAAGACCACGGGGCCGTCCGTGGCGCTAGGCATTGGGAGGCTTGCTAGGACGCCACGGGGCGCGCCCAAGGGGTCATGGGGTATGGCTGGAAAGCCGCCCATGACATTATTCATGGAAATAATCCATATCCACATATATGCTTTTACGTGTCGAGTCTTGCAAAATAAAACAGAATAGAAATTCTACCACGTAAAACGTGGTTTACTACCACGTTGAACCACCTTTTTTATCCTAACATGCCAAACGGCCTTAAAACGTGGTTCAAAAACACGTTTTACATATTTTGGTCACTATTTTTTTTTTCCAGTTAAAAAAATAATTTGAGTCCAAAAACAAAACATTTCGATTCCGGACTCTACCAAAACCTCTCATTTAATATTGCAACATATCCATTCACCCAAAATCTTTATTTACTCCAAATTCCAAAATACCCAAATCGTTGAACTGGAAATTGCCCCACAAACCATTGCCACTCCCCTTAAAATCCTGAACCAAATGTGCTCACTACGAGTGCCGACCATGGCTGCCAGTGGCTTAGCCTCACTTCCGATTCTCAGAAGAGTACTTCCTTCACTCCTATCTTCTCGTCCCACTCATGCCGTCAAAGAGATCTTTTACGATAGAACCCTCATATTACGAACACCTCTGCGCTCCTCAGGTCTGCAGACTTCTCTTTATCCTCATTCCTCCGTTTCTTCTCGTAATTTTTGTGTCAATTTGTATCATTGTAGTGAAATTTTAGTTGAATAGTGCAATTTCACTTCAAAATAGATTTGAACAATTTGAAGCATATGCAAATTATTTTGGTTTTCTCTTAGCGTAAAATACTGAGATCACTAGATGATGAAAGTTCGAAAAAACATTGCCTTAATCTTGAAATGGTTTATATTTATATTTTAAATTAAAAATGTTAAGAAAAATAGTACAATTAGAGGATAACAGTTTAATTGATATAATCAATCAAATTAAAAAAAATTGATTCTTTCAAATGCCTATATTGCTTATAGCAATAGAATAATGTTAATAACTCGTGTTTCCGTTGCTTCGGCGAAAAGAAGTTTTTCAAAATTAAAATTGATAAAATCTTACCTTAAGATCAACATTGTCTCAAGAGAGGTTAAATAGATTAGCTATATTGTCAATTGAGAAAGACTTATTAAGAGAAGTTGATTATAAGAAAATTATTAATAACTTTGCATACAAAAAGAGTCTAGAAAAATAGACTTCAAATAAAAAAAAAAGTTAAGGCCCCTCATAAAGTTTGGCTTTAAACCACAAAATTGGTTGGGCCGCCCCTGGCGGGAGATTTGGTTAACTCATCTATAACACAATTGTATACTATTTTTTCAAGTAGCATGCAATTAAAATTGCATATGCTTGAAATTAATAGCCTTGACTAGGCTTATCATTTGAGAAGTCCAACATCAATCTACAACATCATCCTGAGGCATTTTATCAAACAATTGCCGTGCACCTTCCAAATGAGTGAATGGCCCATTAATACAACATATCAACAAGTCTAGTGTCAATGAAGATATCAGATTCAAACTTTGTATTAACTATCCTCATCAATCATACCTTTATTTGAAAAGCTGAAATTTCACTGCAAGTTACCAGTACAAAGGTGAATGCTGGATTGTATTCTGCAGAATTGAACTGTGTGTGCTAAGTGCTGATTCGTTCACACCTAGTCCATAACTTGTACTTCCACAAGATGACAAGTGCCTTGGGTATATAATCAAGTAAGAGTGCGAAAATTGCATTTTTGGACGAGTTTTGGTCGTTCATGTGCATTTCAAAAGATCAATAGGCAGTTAGTGCTTTTATAAGTGTATTATTGGCTGAGCCAATGTGGTCAATTCAGACTAGGACAAGGACCGTATAAATCACCTTGAAATAATAATGATCAAATAAGACCACGTTTAAATGTCTAAAGACTATTTTGTCACCTTTTCTTTTATCCATATATTTGTCTGCCTCAACTCCCACATAAAGATCAAACGAAACTATCCAAGCAACAACATTAAGAGCCCGTTTGGCCAAGCTGCCAAAAACTACTTATTTTGAAAAGTACTTTTGTTCAAAAGTGCTTTTCGAAAAAGTACTTTTGGAGATTAGCAATCTGTCTTTGGTCAATTCATTTGAGAAGTACTTTTTGAGATATTTGATAAATAAATTGTGTTTGGCCAATCTTTTTAAAAAGTATTTTTGAGTGTCAAATTACGAAAAATGACAGTAAAGGTTTAGTTTACAATTAACATTATCCAAAAAAGAGAAATTTTAAATATTTATTATAAAAAAATTTAATTATTTTTTATCTTTATTTAATTAAAGTATAAAACATAAAATAATATATATTGAAATCTTTAATCAATATAAAATATGAGTTTATAAAAGCAATATTGGTAGGAAGATATGTGCTTACAAGTTACATGTAAGAAAAGCACTATCTTTTCTTGAGAAAACGACGAATTAGGTAGTATTTCATTATGTCAACTGTATTATATGCATGCACGCCAAAAAGAAATATAAATAATACTACATACTAGAGATTATATAATATTGATATACTACGAAAGAAAAAACATATCTTTTGAAGAGTGCTTGAATCTGGTGATTAGCATTGTTATTTCAAAGAGTAATAGGAGACGGAAAAAGAAAAGAAGAGATCTATTTATAGTAGAGAGATTACTCCAAAGCGGAGTAAGAGAAGAAGAATAAAAATACGCTAAAAATAAAAAGAAGAAGAAAAGGATGGCGGAGAAAAAAGTAAAGGTTAAATTAATGAAGGATAATTTAGGAAATATAAATTTATGATAAGGATAATTTTTGTTTAAAAAAAATTAATTTTCTGTGTTTGCTTCTGCTTCTTGGAAGAAGATAGAATTTGTAGCTTCTTCCCTAAAGCAGAAAAACTGCTTCTGCTGCTGTTGCTCAAAAGCACTTCTCCGTTTTGGCCGAACCCCTCATATTTCCAAATAAGTACTTTTTTGGGAAAAAGTACTTTTCATCTCCTAGAAGCTTGGCCAAACAGGCTCTAAGCTGATTTCTTTTAATGACTATTTGGATAACTTTGCTGATTTATAGCATATGAGTAAATGGTGTAGGATTGGAAGAGTTATGCTGAGGCATTTATCAAACAATATCTATTAACCTAAACATTCTACTTTAACTATCCTCATCAATCATTCCTTCTGTTAAAAGTTGAAATTTCACTGCAAGTTACCAGTGCAAAGGTGAATGCTCGATTGGCTTCTGCAGAATAGAATTGTGCCTGCTAAGTGCTTATTTGTTTTCACCTAGTCTCTAACTTGTAGTTCCACAAGATGAGGTGCCTTGGGTATAATCAAGGTAAGAAAGAGAAAATTCCTTTTTTTGGAATGACTATATGTTTTTTGGCTGTTTATGTGTGTTTCACAAGATCAGTAGACCATTAGTTTTTTGGGCGATATTGGCTGGGCTAATTTGGTCACTTGCAGACTAGTATTAGGACCATATCAGTCGTTTTGAAATTATAATGATCAAATAAGACCAAGTGGAAATGTATAAGGACTACTTTGATCACCTTTTCTTTTATCCATTTGTCTGCCTCAACTCCCCCTTAAAGATCAAACAAAACGATGTGCAATAGCTTAAGGACTACTTGGATAAATTTGCTGATTTCTAGCATCTGAGTAAGTGTTGTAGGATTCGAAGAGTCCTTCGGAATATCTATTGGCCTAAACTTTCTACTTTTGGTTATAAAATTTTAATAGCTGATGACCCACATATTTGTTGAAACTCTGTCGAAACAGCTTTTGGAATATGCGACCTACCACAGGCTATTAAGGGTGATACAGATGTTTTACTGAAAGGATTGGGAGACAAGAACACCATTGAAGATGTGAAACGTATTGTTGAACTGGTACATATACATCTGCCGGACCAATCAATCTTCTCTCAATTAGCATTTGCAAAGTCATGTTTAGGTTTTTCTCTTTGGTCCCTGTTGCAGAAAAAGAGCCAAAGCATTGTTCTAGGTCTTAAACCTAAACTGATTGGAGTGATTTTTGAAGAGTTTCGAAGTTCTTAATGAAGGGATAGTTCTTGATAATCACTTGTCTACTTCTCAGGCGAAACGGGCATCATTGAGACGAGAAGTTTTACATACTGACTTTCTGACCCCACCTGTTCTGAAAGAGTCAATGCTAGTCTTAGAAAGGTTAGCCGACGTTAAGATCGTTGCACAAGGAGGATACCCGGAGGTAGGACAAAATATTTTATATAGAACTTGTTTGAGCACTAAAGCTGCTTGAGCTTATATTTTTGTTGTTCTTGTTCCACATAGGCTGAACGTTGCCGTCTCTCAGTTGGGCATCCAGATGCATTAACAAGTGATCCAGATATTGTCTCAGCCTTGAGGTAGGTCCTCTTGTGGTTTGTTCAGTTATATCTGATGTTTAAATCAACCAAATCATAATTTCCCTTAATCATTGTAAAAGAGATCCCTTTTCCAGTATTTCAGGGAACTTTTCATTTCAACCTTGTTCTCACGGTGATTTCCTTGGTGCAATCCTTGGTACGGGGATAGTAAGGAATAAGCTGGGAGATATACTCTTGCAGGTATCTTCTTTATTTATATATTGGAGGTTCTCTCTGCGGACACACTAGGTTGGACAAGATTAGGAATGAGATTATTCGGGAGAAAGCTTCATCAAAAAAAAAAAAAAAAGATTATTCGGGAGAAGGTGGGCATGGCCCCTATGGAAGATAAGATGCGTGAAGCGAGGCTTAGATGGTTCGGGCATATGAGAAGGAGAAGCCTAGATGCCCCAGTGAGGAGGTGTGAACGGTTGGCGCTGGCAGGTAGGAGAAGAGGTAGAGGGCGGCCTACGAAGTACTGGGGAGAGGTAATCAGGCAGGACATGGCGCGACTTCAGCTTACCGAGTACATGACCCTTGACAGGAGGGTATGGATGTCGAAGATTAGGGTAGAAGGGTAATAGGTCGTTGTGTGTTTTTCTGATCTGTTCCAGGTTTATTAGGGCTAGCTGACTAGTACATTGTCTTCGATTCTTAGAATGACAGTATTAGGGTTGTTTTAGTACTATCTTCCGCTTCGGTTTTCTAGTACCTTGTCGTGTTACTGCTTGTGGCTATTACTTTTGCTATTGCTATTGCTACTGCTTTCTTCCATTTATTTTTCTCCGGTCCTTACATTGTTGATATCATTTTCCTGGCCTTGTTGTTATTTACTTGTTCCAATTCTTCCTTTCGAGCCGAGGGTCTTTCGGAAACAACCGCTCTGCCCTCCAGGGTAGGGGTAAGGTCTGCGTACACATTAGCCTCACCAGTCCCCACTTGTGGGATCCCACTGGGTTGTTGTTGTTGTTGTTGTTGTCTCTTTCTCACTCTTGCAAGTTTCCGCAACACCAAATTGATTCATCATTTGTTTGGATACAAAATAAATATATAAAAGAATGATAGGAGTGACGGAGAGTGAAAATTTGTTGATCAAATGGAGGGCTCCTGAGAATTTAGTTGCGGGCATCACCAAAGAGAGGATCCACCTTTTTATGCAGCTGATTTGTTATGTAATAAAAGATGAGTTAAAACTTAAATGTGGAGCTAGTGGTTATGAAGAAAAGTTGTAGCTCAAGACTTGATCTCCTAATGAGTCCTCAATTTAATGTGGAAGTGGTGACTCAAACATCTATTATAAGATGCAGAAGTCGCACAAAGTTTGACGGGTGAAGCAACTTCCAAGATAGATTGTTGAAATCTCCCTTTTATAGCAAGAACGTACTACTAAGTTAGCTTAGACACAGAGAATCAGAGCACGACAAAGTATCCTGCTGGGCTACTCTCTAAAAGGAAACCGATTCCTGAAACAGAACAGTTGGCTGAGCTTCTTTAAAGACTGCTGATTCACAGTTTCAAACTACTATCACTAGATAAAAATTTCTGGCAATATCAAATTGTCACGTTGGATTATCTAAAGTTTTTGAATTTTTTCTTATGAAGTTATATTTTGTTGTTTACTGTCTTTGACATGTTCTGACCAATCAAAAGCCTCTAGATTTTCATGATGTTGGTCTTGTGTGTGAATTTATGTAACTTTTGTAACATATTCCACTTCCCATTTGACTAAGTATTAGGTTGTTTTGAACATTTCTTTGTGATGTTTAGGGTGAAAAGGGAGCTCATGTTCTTGTTGTTCCAGAACTTTCTGACTTCATTTTATCAGCATTGGACAAGGTAAGGATACTTTACCTATTGCTTCCACTTGCAGTATCTTTTTCTCCATTCATCATCAAAGTACTTAAGTATATTGTTCTCCATTCGTCATCAGAGTACTTTAGTCTCTGCATTCTTAAGCGCATCTGTCATGTCATTTGCATTTATATTGGTAGTTGGATCCCTTAACCTGTAAGTTTCCCTAAGCTGAAATTGGCTGGACAATGGAAAATACTTACTCTTGGTACTCTTTCATGGGTGTGGGATAGGTTGGGAAAGTCATGCTGCAAGATGCTTGATTACTTTGCTATCTAGTATGTACAATTCTTTTTCTTTTGTCTTTTTGTATTTTCAGGAGCCTTATTATCTTTGAATTACAAAAAGTTCTACACCAAATGAAAGAAAATAACTTGCTTCCTTTATGCATCTATGTGATTTTCCATTATAACTTTTTTTTGTCCCTACTTCACGCCACTTGCTTCTACCAGCCAACTAACGCTGAAATTTTCTTGTGACTATCGACAACTACTGTACTCACCACCAACATCCACTAGTATTATATGATATTACATTGATTTGGACAGTGATTAAGTATATGAATTTTTCTGCATAGAACATCTTTTTTGGAAAAATCCAAAAGGAGCAAAAAGTTTCTAGCTTTAAAAATTTGTACTGGTGTGATTAAGTTGTAAAGCTTTCCACTTAATTTTTCTTTGTAGGTTGGAAATGTTTCTGTCTCTTGCAAGAAGATTCCTTTGCTAGCCCTTGAATACGAACCACCAAGGTAGAAGATGTACAGTAATAGTTTCTTTGGTTTCTTCTCTTCACGCGTAGAATGTTATGATTTAGGAAATTTTGTTTTTGTTGTACTCTTTCTAGGACCAAGTCCTTAAAATCTGTTGAGGCATCACTGAGACTTGATGCCGTAGCTAGTGCAGGATTCAAAGTTTCACGAACCAAAATGGCCAGTTTGATTAGGTAATCTCCTTTCATATATTTTTTTCTTTCCAAAATATATTGCTTGTTGCGTGCTTGGCACTGTGAATGACTACATAACTGATCCTTACATTAATTCATCGTATATGAATAATTAAAATGACTATTGCCTGAATTTATGATAATGATTCACGTGTGATCCATAATCAATTGTCATAGATTTGCAAGCTGTCCTTTCGGTACAGTATAACCTTGAAATTCCATATATTGTATTCAAATGGGCTTCTTCCATGAAATTTCTTCACCTTCTCATTGTTTCCTACACTTTTTGGGTCTTTTAACCCTATAACCAACAGATCTCGTTTTGATTTTCACCTGTGAAAGAGCGAGGTAATTTAAAAGAATTACAACCATAACCTTTCCCAGGTTCGACATTTATGGCTATTGACATAAGGGAATCTTCCTGCAGTGATGCACATTCTCCCTTATTTCTTAACAATAAAATTCAGTTCTCGAAGGGTTAGTAACAATTTATATTTCCATTCATAAGCATGAAAATGAAGAGTTTTTATTTATTTATGATGCATTTGCTTGAGTTGTCTGTAAGAAAGGATTTCTTTCTTCTAGAACTAGATGGTCGCTGTGCAGTGATTCATTATCTATTTAAGGAAAGGAAACACAACCAAAGAAAAAAAATTGATTCATTTATTATAGTGGTAACAGGTCAGATGAATAAGTAACTTCTTGATGGAAGTTTGTTAATCACTTCCTAAAAAGAAATCAAAAGGAAAAGGAAAACTAGCACTGAACTGACACAACTGGTGAGAGGGTTTTAGTTTTGTGTTTGATTGTCACTTGTCTAAAATAGCGCTTATATCCCAAGCTGGGGAGAGGTGGTTGTTGTAGGCTATTAGATTTTCTCAAACAAACCTGCTAGGGATCCAAGATTTTACAAGGTTGCAATTTCTGTGTAGTATCTAAGCTTATCGGGGTGGTTGGGTGGGAGGAAAGGGGTGATATTTTGAGGTTGTTTGCTGCTGTAGCCTCAAAATTGAATGAATCACTAAGGATGTGGATAATATGTTGATTTGGTGACAGTTTCTATATGCTTACTGCTTAGACCATGCAGATGTATTTGGCCAAATACTTTGTTGCCTAAGTTAATATTATCTCACTCTTATCTTGGTGGCCTTTCAGTAATGGAGATGTTCGTGTCAATTGGACAACTGTGACAAAAAGCAATACTACCATTAAGACTGGAGATATCATATCAGTTAGTGGAGAAGGCAGACTTAAGGTAAGTTATTTCTCAGAAAACTCTGCCGCCACTACGGAAGTCAATGAATCAAAGGAAACTCCCTCCCATATTCCACACACAAAACAGATCTCCCATAGACAAGAAATAAATTTTGGTTTACTTTTATAATGCTTGTCCAATATTGAGCTAAATATGCTCTTCTCATTGGCTCATTTGCGAAAAAAAGGGCATACCTATCTCTCCCTATGAGTTCTGAGGTTGAAAATCCATTTTTTCTTCAGACTTGGCTTAAAATGTAAATTCCCTTTTCCCCAACTATTGGAAGTATCATTTTCCAATTTTGTCACTCAATTAAGTGCGATCATTTCTAATTTCAAAGATTATCTCTGACCAACAAACAAAGCTAAAAGATAAAATGTGATTAGAGAAAAAAGTCAAGTAGTAAGCTTTGCTCTAAATTCCGGATGCCCTACTATAATGCCAATTTTGCAATTGCGGTTTTTAGATTAATTAGGTGTTGTAACTTCGAGAATCTCCACGAATATCCACAAGATGAGTGTCGTAGAAATGTGAATGTTAAGATGGATGTGGGTCATTCAAGATTAGAAATTATCACGTTCAGCTGAAGGTGCAAGTAGCACCATAGAGAATAAATTAAGAAAAGGTCGCTTGAGATTGGTCACGTTCTACATCTACTTCCAAAGCATATACGACTTTGCATATGTGAGAGATAATTTGGACGGCGACTCAAGCTTATATTTGATAGCTTCCATGATGAAGTCCTTCAATTTCTCAACAGGAATTAGACCTTCAGCGGTGACTTGGATTTCCTTAGTTGTCGTTGCTTGCTTTTCGGAGGAGTTCCATTTCTCTTGTAACGTTTGAAGATTTAAAGGTGTTTGTATGGTTTCTCCTTGTACTATGCTATCCAACTTATTTGTTAACTTGGAAGGTTTAGCATCTTGATCTTGCACGCGCTTTGAGAAGCCTTCAATTGCTTTTATCAAATTTGTGAGTTGTTCTTCTACGGTAGAAACTTCAATAACCGTTGCTTGCACGATGTCCGTAGAGGATGAAGAATGAAATAGATCATTATTGGGATAGAGCTTGGAGGTCGCATTAATGGAGACTAAAGTAGATCCAGCGCTCAAGTCATCATCATAAGCTTGCATGAAAGTTTTCTCAGACTTGGATAAACTAAGTTGGGCAAGAACCTTTTCGATCCTTTTGGCTTCCCTTTTTGGGTCGTGCTTGTAGAGGATCTTGCTCCTTTTGAAGATGAAGATCCAAAAATAGGGGTTGACGTGGACGACACCTGGAGTGCTCGTTGTCCTAAAGAGCTTGCTTTGCTCCTTGTAACTGGCCCAAAACTTCCAAAGGTAACATCGAGGATGCTTTCCACATCAGCATAGAACTTGGAATTAGCAGCCTCACTGGAAGTTGATCTGGAGTTAATTTTCTGTGAAGTCATTTCGATGTTCTTGAACTTTGTTGATTGAAAAGTTGAGATGAGAGTTAGAGATTGTCCCACCGGGCGTGCCAGAATTTGTAGACAATAAATTTGCATCAAGAAAATAGTCGAGATCGAAAATATTGCAACAATCGTAGTATTTGATTTCAAGTAATATGAGCGTACAATCTATATGATTCCTCTAATTCTTCTTTTCAATAGTAAATAAATTCAAGGGCCTTTGAGCTTGATCTTGAATCTATGTTTGTTGTCACGAACGATGATGTTGAATTCACCTAGCACGATTTTGATTTGAACTCATACTCCTTGAATCTTGATTTATTCTTCGTTCTTGAGCTTAAACTTGATTTCTTGAACTTGAACTTGATTGCTTGAAGCTTGAAACTTGTAGAGAAATTTGTGGCGTTTGATCCATGAGCTCTTTCTTGCTTCTTGTTATCACTTCTGGTGTCTTTTCTGGGTTATGAAGACCCCTATTTATAGTTGTAGGAGGGAAAAGTTATGGTAAGACCAAACTCATTCCGACCAATCAGATTGAAGCGTGACAAGGCCGCATTTGATTGGCCAGAACATGTCACTTGCACATGTGGCACAATTTCATTGGCCATTTAATTTGACTTGGCATGCCTTGTTATTTTGACACGTGGCTTGATCCTATTGGTTTTTTTTTCGTTTGACTTGGCGTGTCACGTCATTTTACACGTGGCACTAAATTGGGCCTCTAGGAAGTGGGCTCATCACTTGTTGCCCAAATGAACTTGGACTAATTTATTAAGTCCATCTATATCAGATTTATATAATTAATTCAATTATATTAGCCCAGTAAATTTATTTGGACTAATATATCTTGAATTTAAAATATAGTCCAAATTAATTTATGAATTTAATTCCGCAAATTTTATATGCCTACAAAAACACAAAAACACAAAAACACAAAAAATAATTCAAAACAAGAAAATATCTAATAGGCAAATACATAATAGAACAATTAATTAAAAATACCATCTAAAACATATTTGTATTAAACAGTAAATGTTAAAATGGATCTTTCCTAACTTTACATAATCTTTCTATTTGTACCAAGCAAAATATGACATGCCCACGTCAACTTAACACAACCAACGTTCCAATCACAGTTCTAGCATTGAAGATCCATGAAACAAATTTCGAAGCTCATTTGAATAAAGTTGTAACTCAAATCAATTCGTTCCTTACTAATTCAAACTCATAACTTACTAACAGTTAAAGAAAAACTAAGAATCTAATGATCTATTTTGCAATTTTAAACTTATCACTACAACAAAACTTGTCTCTTAACATTTACTAATTTGTTATAATAGCCATGAAAAGGAATTACTAAGCAGATCCTCTGCTATCAATGTTTGACTTCATAACTTGTACTAATAATGGCATTAGATTTTGATAAAGTGGATAAGGTAAAAATAGTATGGAAGAATTCAGGGATCATCCATTCAATCTAACATAAAGGAGGAATCTGAACATAATAATGATGTAACTCAATGAGCAAAAACTCAAACACTATGTTACATGGACTCAGAATTAAATTACTCTACGCTACATGGCCTAGATAAAGCTAAGTTGGATAGCCAGATCTCATAACATTTACTAAGACAGAATATTAAACCTCAACAATTATAAGCATGAATCATAACTTCACCACACCATCAAAACTTAAACAAAAAAAAGAAATCGTACATACACGCAAGTTCCTTAAATAGGAATAGAGGGCGGGGGTTAGATATGGACCTTTAAGATGACACTTTTCAATCTGATAAGAATCTCCAAAGAAAGCTTTACAGTTGAATTAGTAGCGACCAAAACCAGGACGAACTCGAAAAGGAGCTAGCGAAGTGCGACCTCGTTGGCGACCTCGAACTCAACCGAAGCTTTTGAGCCTCATGGTGTTTTGAGGCTGGTTTTGAGTTGGGTTTTAATATTAAAAAAAACTGCTGGAATTTAGGCTTGGCTTTGCCGCGGTTTTGGAGGAAAAAGTTGGTTTTTGGCTCATTTCGTGGGTGCGAACTGGCAACGTTTTTGGTTGTTTTCGGGTGCCTCTCTACCCTTCCGGGATAACGGTAAGGTCTGCATACACTCTATCCACCCCAGATCTCACTAAAGGAATTTTACTGGGTTGTGTTGTTGTCTGCTGTATTTTTTGGGTGTTTTATGGCTGTCTCCAATTGTTCTCTTCTAAAATAGTTCTCTTCCTTTTTATGAATAGGATGTGCTTTTTGGAGTTTTTTTCTCTCATATGTTCTCCTTTTCAAAAAAATGTTTTCCCACTTTTATAAAGAAGAAAAATTATGGTTAGCAAAGGGCTTGGAGTGGGGAACGTGGGATTGGGACGTGAGGAGTTAGAAAAAGGTGGGGATTGTGTGTGTTTTTCTGTTTTAGGTAAGGACCAGACTTTTTGATAAAGTTTGATAACAAACTTTTCAATGTTGACGCAAGCTACTTCATTTTGTTTTCTTCTTCTTCTTTTATATTTTATTTTAAAAGATAAATTAAATTATGAAAATAAGAATATTGATCAACTACTTTTACACCATGAAAAATATAAGAAAACTAACTATTTACATGTACTTTAAATGATAATAATAAAAATATGTGCTAGGGATATCGTAGGGTCAGTTTGGCAGGCACCAAGGCGACTGGTGGTGGAATGACGTAGTCTCCAAGGCAAAGTGGAGGCGAAGAAGGAAGCGTATATGAAGTTGGTAGGGAGCACTAGCGAGGAGGAGAGGAGAGCGAACATAGAGAGGTACAAGGTAGCAAGAAAGGAGGCTAAGTTGGCGGTCATGGAGGCTAAAGATGCAGCGTTTGGCCGTCTGTACGAGGAATTAGGGGAAAAGGTGGGGATAAGAAGTTTTGGCTGGCTAAAGCGAGGGAGAGGAAGGCTCGGGATCTGGATTAAGTGAAGTGCATCAAAGACGAGGACGGTAGAGTATTGATGGGGGAGTCCCAGATTAAGCAGAGATGGCTACTTTCAGGGTCTTCTAAATGAGGAGGGGGATCGGGATATAGTGCTAGGGGATCTGGGGCATTCGGAGAGTCTCCGAGACTTTAGGTATTGTAGGCGTATTAAATTGGAAGAGGTCGTGGGGGCTATACGTAAGATGAGTAGGGGCAGAGCGACCGTACCAGACGAAATTTCGATAGAGTTTTGGAAGTGTGTGGGTTTGAGTAGCTGACTGGGCTGTTTAATGTTATTTTCAGGACGAAGAGGATGCCGGATGAGTGGAGGTGGAGTACAGTGGTTCCGTTGTACAAGAACAAAGGTGATATTCAGTGTTATAACACCTATAGGGGTATCAAGTTACTAAGTCATACCATGAAAGTTTGGGAAAGGGTGGTGGAGGTGAGGGTGAGAAAGACAGTGTCTATATCTGACAACCAGTTCGGGTTCATGCCGGGTCGCTCGACTACAGAATCTATCCACCTTATTAGGAGGTTGGTGGATCAGTACAGAGATTGGAAGAAGGATCTGCACCTGGTGTTTATTGACTTGGAGAAAGCGTATAACAAGGTCTCTAGGGAGGTGCTATGGAGATGTATGGAGGTAAAAGGTGTGCCGGTAGCTTACGTTAGAGCGATAAAAGACATGTATGATGGAGCTAAGACTAGGGTAAGGATTGTGGGAGGCGACTCGGAGCATTTCTCGGTTGTTATGGGTTACACCAAGGATCTGCGCTTAGCCCATTCTTATTTGCCTTGGTGATGGATGCATTGACACCATATTCAAGGGGAAGTGTCATGGTGTATGTTATTCGCTGATGACATAGTCCTGATTGATGAGATGCGGGACGGTGTTAACGAGTGGTTGGAGATTTGGAGACAGGCTCTCGAGTCTAAGGGTTTCAAATTGAGCAGGACTAAGACAGAGTACTTGGAGTTCAAGTTCAGCGCCGAGTTGAGGGAAGTAGGCATGGATGTGAGGCTTGGATCACAGGTCATCCCCAAGGGAGGTAGTTTCAAGTACCTTGGGTTGGTTATTCAAGGGGGCGGAGAGATTGACGAGGACGTCAATCACCGTATAGGGGTGGGGGTGGATGAAATGGAGGCTATCATCTAGAGTCTTATGTGACAAGAAAGTGCCACCGATACTCAAAGGTAAGTTGTATGGGACAGAGTGTGGGCCGGTTAAGAACTCTCATATCCAGAAGATGAAGGTAGCTGAGATGAGGATGTTGTGGTGGATGTGCGGGCACACTAGGATGAATAAGATTAGGAATGAAGATATTCGGGAGAAGGTGGGCGTGGCCCTGTGGATGACAAGATGCGGAAAGCGAGGCTCAGATGGTTCGGGCACGTGCGGAGGAGAAGCCTGGACGATCCGGTGAGGAGGTGTGAGCGGTTGGCTATGGTGGGTACGAGAAGCGGTAGAGGACCGCCTAAGAAGTATTGGGTAGAGGTGATCAGACAGGACATGGCACGATTGCAGATTTCCGAGGACATGACCCTTGATAGGAAGGTCTGGAGATCGAGCATTAGGGTTGTAGGCTAGGGGGTAGTCGAGCTTCTCCTTCTCCATTCCAGGGGTGAAGCGAGTTTGATTAGGTTGATCTTAGACGGCTTGTGGTTAATGTAGAGTCCACACTACCCTTACTGTTTTTTATAGCTCCGGACCTTATTTGCTGGTTATTGTTATTGCATGTCATCTATTTTATGGTTTTTAGGATGGTGTCACTATTTCTATGGTTATGATGACGATACTGATGAATTGTCTTTTCTTGTTTATTTCCATCTCCTGAGCCGAGGGCCTATTGGAAACAACCTCTCTGCCCTATCGGGGTAGCGGTAAGGTCTGCGTACACACTAGTCTCCCCAAACCCCACTTTGTGGGATTTTACTGGGTTGTTGTTGTTGCATATATTTTTTTGTAAATTTTTATTTTCTCTTTACAAGTAGAAATAAAATATGTTCTATATATATATATATATATATAATTTTTCTCAAATAAAACCTATTAAAAGTAAGATAAAAGTCAAAAAAAATCAAGATTAGACCTAAAAGAAATATTTATAGTATTGAATTCGGGTATGGTAAAAAATTAGTTCTTCACAATTTGTATGCTAATAAAAAAATGTAGAGAACTTCTTTTGCTTGAGTACCTAAATCTTCCAATATTGGATTGATATGGGTCTAAATAGAGGGACATGGACCCGGACTAGTTTGGAATTGAAGCGAAGTATATTGTTGTTGGAGAATTTCAATTGGGGCAATTTTTAGGTTGGTTAAAGAAGTCTCATTTTGATTGAGTCTTTATCAAGATTGCTGGAGTCAGTTCTATAGTTGCGTGTTATGTCTGAGTTGGAAATTTGGCTAAATACTAAGTAGGCGTTTGGGCATAAGAATTGTAAAATTCGAAAAAATTGTGATTTTTTTTTTCAAGTGAATGGTATTTGAAATTTAGAGTTGTATTTGGACATAAATTTCAATTTGGGTTGTTTTTGAGGTTTTGTGAATGATTTTCACTGGGTCGTTGTTGTTATTGTTGTTGTTGTTGAATGATTTGAGTGTAAATTTTGAAAAACAGTTTTTTGCAATTTTTCAAATTTTCGAAAATTTCCAAAATGCATCTTTAAGTGAAAATTGAAAATTTTATGAACGAAAAAAGATGAAATTTTTTTGGAAAAATCTTCCATCAAATTATATGTCCAAATGGGCACTAAGAGCCCGTTTGGACATACAAAATTTTTTCCTTTTTTTCAAATTTTTTTTTGAAAACAATGTTTGGTTATCCCATTCTTACAAATTTTTCCTTTTTCACTTGAAAATCCATTTTCAAATTTGAAAAACTGGTTCTAACCACTTTTTCAATTGAAATGGGAAATTTGCTAGTTTTTAGTTTTACCAATTTATCCTATATTTTTAAAATTTATAAAATGACCCCATCAATTTTTCATCTTTGGCAGATACATCTTTGACGACTGATGGTGGAACATCAGTCCTAGTTGATTTTGCATCTTCTGTGTATTGCAGTAAAGCAAAATATGATAACAGATAAACAATAATATTTTGATTGTTTATTTCAAGTAGGATAATCAAATTGGGGTGGTTTTGATATTTTTACAAGTTGTGGTATATAAATCATATTTTATGATTTTGAAAAAAAAGACATCCAAATATATTGCAAAAATTATAACCAAACAACTTCATCATCAATTCAACTTTTAGTGAAATTCTAAATTTGAAAAAATAATAATTTGGAATTCATGTCCAAACGCCTACTAAGCTTGTTTGAAGACATGTCTCCTTTTTCTGCTTTGTTTGGTTTTAGGACATTGTTAGTACGAATCAGAGATTTATCAAAATTCAATGGTGATGATTATATATTGTTCAGTGATTTTGGAGGTATGGGGATTTGTGTTGTTGAATTGCTTGTCCTTAAAAACCAATTATGCAGTCAACCAGTGCTAGCTCATTTTGGGACTTATAATGAACATTTTCTTACATCCTATTGGGGAACAGTGATGAGAAATGAAGTTGTTTCTGCTGACTTATGTATCTCTTGTTCAGATTGGAGAAATTAATTCAACAAGGAAGGGAAAGTTTGCAGTTGAGCTCATTCGGTATTTGTAAAGCCTGAAGTTATTTCGCAATATAGATTCTGTCGACTCAAAAGCTCCTATAGGTGCTTATCAAGCACTCATTTGCACACAGTTCTCGCGGTGACGAAAATATAGTTCTCTCAAGTTTGCAATGATGTTACAGTTGTGCGCCTGAGGCCAGTTCCATGTTGTCTGCAACTCGGCATTTCGTGGTTTAACTTTTTTTGGGAGACAAAGCAGGAAAGTGGAGGATGACACACAGATTGGAACTCGTTCAGTCATATTTCCTGATAATATCAATTTTGTAAAGGGAGCTACAACCGGTAAGAGTCTTGAATTGTTTCACTGTCAGTGTATTTAAAGAAACAAATACCCATTAAATTACCTTTAGATACAAGTAATACAATCATATACATTTTTGAAGATGCAGGTCCAGGGGCTGGTGTCTGGAAATTAAACTTCAGTTGTGGATAACTGGATATGTACTAGCAGTTTAAGTGAATCATCTATTCAAATTGTAAAGGGCTATGTTCACTCATTTTTTCAGAATTCTTCAGTGGGTTGGTACGAAAGGGCAATCACTCTAGATCTAAAAGTGACGTTTCTATTAGAGAGAGATCGAGGGTGAGTCCAGTTGGTTCAACTAAACCTACCATTTTCGGCTTGAATTATGTATGCATATGACTAAATTGTCAACATATTACACATTAAATTCATTGACTCTAAAATTTTAGGTCCTTGATACATCTGACGGCACGGCAGTGCATGTTAATCATCAGGCAAAGGAAGTAGAAGGCTACACTTTGGATTATTAAATTTTGTTAGTGTTATAACTCACGTATCTGAAATTCATCTTTAGCTATCTAAAAAATATGATTGTCCTGACCCCTTGATTATTATCAAATATATTGCTCGGAAAATAGAAATGATAGGACAATCAAACTTTCAGTGCTGATTATGACACATTATGTGACGACCCAAAGGGTCATCACCTGTTTCCTCATCCGTTCCGTGCTTCCGAGGCCCTGAAAACCTCATTTTTACTTGCCTCGATTTGCGTGCGCAGTCCGGGCGCATAGCCGGAAAGCTTTTATGTTGAAATATGTGAATTCTGTGAAAAATTTGAAGAATTTTGACATTAATATGATTACAGTTGACTTTGGTCAATATTTTTTGGTAAACGGACCCGGGCCCGAGATTGGACGGTCCCGGAAGGTCCGTAGAAAAATATGGGACTCGGGCATGTGCCCGGAGTCGAATTCCGAGGTCTAGAGCCCGAGAAATGAATTTTTCTGCGAAATTATTTTTCTGAAATTATTAAGGAAATTAGAAATGAAAATTTATTAAAAGACTGTGGTAGCGGGCTCGTATTTTGGTTCCGACGCCCGGTACAAGTCTTAAATATGTGTTAAGCGCTTCTGTAAAGTTTGGTCGAAATCGGACGTCGTTTGACGTGTTTCGGACCTAAATATCTAAAGTTGGAAGTTTATGAAGTTATAATGAAAAATGATGAATTTGGGGCTTGATTCATTGATTTTGATGTTATTTTAGCGATTTGATCGCTCGAGTAAGTTCGTAGAGTGTTGTTGAGTTAGTGTGGATGTTTGGTTAGGAGCCCCGAGGGCTCGGGATTGTTTCGGAGGTAGTTCGGGGTGTTTTTGGCCTTAGAGTTGTTGCAGAATTTCTGCTTCTGGTGTTCAGAGAATTTGCTCTCTGCGATCGCGATTCCATTCCTGCGATCGCATAGAGTCTTCCTCAGGCAATCCAAATTTCTTCTATGCGATCGCATAAGCTGTCCCGCGGTCGCATAGTTTGACCAGTCTCTTCAATGCGATCGCATTCACCTCTACGCGATCGCACAGCTTTAAACTTCACCCAAATATCCTGGCTTCCCTTCTTCTATGCGGACGCACGACTTGTTCTGCGATCGCAGAAGCCAAGTTCCCACTCCTCTATGCGATCGCATCAGTTGCCCCGCGATCGCATAGACCAAAAAACGCCCAGTGATTTTTAAAAAAAGCTTAAAAACAGAATGGTTGCGGGATTTTTCCTCACTTTTCACACGAGCTCTCCTCTTAAACCCTCCATAGACGAAATTCAAGCTCTCCTTCCTCCATAACTCTTTGGGTAAGTAATCTTAACATCATTCCCTCATTATTTCTTCATCTAATTACTAATTTCCTAGCCCTAAATCATGAAATTAAAGTAGAAATTAAGGGTTTTGGGTAGAGTTAGGGTTTTGAGAATTTTGGGTGATTCAACCTCAATTTGGGGTCGAATCTTAAAACAAATTATATATTTGGACTCGTGGGGTTATGGGTGATCGGGTTTTGGTCCGAGCCTCGAGTTTGGACCATGTGGGCCCGGTGTCTAATTTTGGTATTTTTGGAAGAATGCTAGAAAATTCATATCTAGGCTATGGATGTTGCCATTGAGTCTTTATTGATATTATTAAATTAATCATGCCTAGATATCACTGTTTCGGAGTCGGATTGTAGAGGAAAGGCGGTCTTTGAAGGTTGATTGCTATTCTTGGGACCGAGGTAAGTGTTTGGTTTAACCCTAGCTTGAGGGAATAGGAGTTGAGTCTTGTTGCTAATTGCTATGTGATCGAGTACGATGTATAGGCATGGTGACGAGTATCTATACATTGGTGTCTAGCATGACCGTGAGTCCTTAAAATGCGATTATCATGAACTGATTGTGAATTCCATGTTTATTGGAGCATTTCTATATGTTGTGAACTACATGTGAATGATGATATGATAATTTGATTCCTAGGAGCATTGGCTCGAATTGTGATACGAATATTGAAAGTATATGAAATGACTTGTTTCATTGAGGAGCGTCGGCTCCAGTTGTAGAACGAATTGTGAAAGTAAAAGTGAGAAAGAGAAGAGATCATTATGTTGCCCTCTTGACGGGCTATTGCGGGTCAGCCTTATCAATCAATGTCGTAGTCAGTCGCATTCCTGAAAGAATGTTATTGTGATTCCTCTGCATTGTGTTCTTGACAGATACTAGAGTCGCTTAGGTTAATGTTTCCTTGTGTCGTGGGATGACTATAGTTATAGCTGAGGTGGTTAAGTAATGTAATAGATTAGTTATAGATGGGGTGGTTAGGTGAGGTAATCGGTTAGATATAGCTGAGATGGTTAAGTGTGGTAATAGGTTGGTTATAGCTGTGGTGGTTAGATGTTGGGGCTAATGTGGTTATAGTAATCCCCTTGCCGGAATATTTGAGATGATGTTTTGTCCCCTTACTGGGAAGTCGTTATATTGTTGTTTGTGACGGAATATGAGATAAGAAATTTCTTGGAGCTTGGGCTCCAGTGATATCGTGAGATAAGAAAAGTAAGGAAGAGAAAGCGTTGTTGATTATTCCCTTGCCGGGACGTTTGGTTGAACTTGTTGGATTCTTTCCCTTGCCGGGATGTTTGTCAAATACTTGCTTATTTTTATGCCCCTTAATGTGACTGTTGTTTGAGGATCGGGTTGCGCGCCGCAACAATGATATTGAGGATCGGGTTGCGTGCCGCAACAATGATATTGAGGATCGGGTTGCGCGCCGCAACAATGATATTGAGGATCGGGTTGCGCGCCACAACAATGATATTGAGGATCGGGTTGCGCGCCGCAACAATGATATTGAGGATCGGGTTGCGCGCCGCAACAATGATATTGAGGATCGGGTTGCGCGTCGCAATAATGATATTGAGGATCGGGTTGCACGCCGCAACAATAATATGTGAGTATCGGGTTGAGCGCCGCAACAATGATACATGATAAATGATATGGGTCGGGTTGCACGCCGAAATAGTGGTATTGTGGAGCGGGTTGCACGCCGCAACAAATGGTAATTATGGAGCAGGTTGCACGCCGCAACAGTTATTGATACCATGTGTTTATGTTGAGTATTGTTTTCCTTGTTCATTGTGAATCTAAGATGCTTTAGTTTGTTACTCGGAATTACTGTTACTATTGTTATCTCCCTACAGCATGCTTCCCCCTCCCATATTACTAGTTGTTTGGTATTTTGTTTTCGTTGTATATTTATAACTGCACAGGTTTATGCGGTGTCCAGTCTAGCCTCGTCACTACTTCGCCGGGGTTAGGCTAGACACTTACCAGCACATGAGGTCGGTTGTGCTGATGCTACATTTCTGTGCATTTTTGCACAGGTCCAGGTTTTGAGGAGCACCAGCAGCAGTAGCACGGGAGCAGGCTTTCATTATCACGAGACTGAGGTAGCCTTGCAGGCGTCCGCAGGCCCGGCGTCTCTTCTTTATGTTTTCCTTTTTGACTGTTGCCTCATTGTTTTCGAGACAAACAGCTGTTATATTTCTTTCAGACCTTTGTATTTAGTTTATTCTAAGTGGTTCGTGAGTAATGTGACACCAAATCTTGGGTAGAGGCTATTGTTGACTATTCCGCGTTTTGATTCAGACTTATAAATTAGACTTCCGCTATTATTATTATTAAATTCCATATTTCTTATTGATGCTAAAGATTGTTAACAAATTTATTTATTAATGAAAGGTAAATAAGTTGGCTTGCCTAGCTATCACGAGTAGGCGCCATCACGATCCCGATGGTGGGAATTCCGGGTCGTGACACATTACCTATCACATAAGCAGGTAAAAATTTCATGGGTGCGCTTGCTCCCATTTAATCTGTATCTACTTCTTAAAAAAGTTTAACTGGTTCCTAAAATTTAGGCAACTTCAGACGTTTTCTTCTCTGTTGCTGCTTCTTTGCTGTTGCTGCTGCTGCTGCTTCTTTGTTGTTGCTGCCTATTCTCTGTCGTTGCTTCTTCGGGGCTGCCGCTTCTTGTATTCTCTTTTCTTCTTCTTCCTTGTCTTAAAATTGAGATTTAAACTTTGAGCTAATACTTGTAGACTATAGGGAAAAAATTGAAAGCCACCATTGTTGAACCTAGAGAAAGCTTGATCAATGATGACCTCGATCAAAGTGATGAAACTGACCTCTTGAGAGATAGAAAACTCAGATTCAATTATACAGTTGCATCGAAAAGAAAGAACTTAAGATAACGGTTTAAAAATTGCATTGAAGAAATAGAAGAACTTCAGTTCAATTCTAAAGTTGTATTGAAGAGATAGAAGAACTTCATATCAGATTCTAAAGTTGCATTGAGAAGATATGGAAGAGCTTCAGATCCGACTCCGAAACCTTGAATTTGTAACTTCAGATCTGAAATCTGAAGTGATCAGACACGAATTCCGAAGTGTGTTCCAAAGTGGATAATTTTTTGTGAAACATGAATATGACTTCAATGATGGCCCCAAAAGTTGGTATATCTGCATGCATTTCCCCCATAAGCATACGCGGAGCCAATGGAGAAGCTACGAGTTCATTTGAACCTAGTAGTTTCGACTTAGATCCTAAATGCGATAAGAATTAAACAAAATAAGTGCAAAAAAATTAATTTTGAACCGAGTAAAATATTAAATCTGAACCCAAAAAATTCAAATCATGAATCCGCCAAATTTGACATGTTGTAAGTTCTATGTAAAAAAAATAATAATTAACCTTGTAATAGTTTTGACTGTATATATTCTATAGACTAATTAGAAATATTTTAAAAGACACATTTCAATGAAACAAAAAAGATAAAAAAACTGGATTATATAGAAGTTGTTCAGTTCTCGAAACTTTTTAAATTCAACATAATATAATCTGGATTTTTTAAAAATTGAACGACTTCTACACTTTAATCATTCTTTTTTTCTGGTGATTTCTTTTAATTTTTTAATTGCACTACTTTTAAAATTTAAATATGGGTAGTCAAAAATTTTACATGGTGAAACTTTATTAATTTTTTACGTGAAAATTACAGAGTGATAAAGCATTAATGTGGCAAATGACATGTCATAACCTAGCGACTGAAGATTAACCTCCCGATTATTTGTACTTTTAGAGCAATTCACACATATAGCATGTTTAATTAAGTTTTCAAAATTTGCTTATTTTAGGAAGTGCTAAAGTAGTGCTTTTCAGAAATTATTTTTGCATAGTAGCAATCTATGTTTGACTAATCATTTTGAAAATTACTTTTGCCAATATTAAAACAGTAATTTGTGGACCAAGGTTTCAAAAATGCTGCTGGGAAAAGCTATTTTTTAGCGCTTCTAAAAAATAACTTTTGTTACTATCCAAAATCACTTATTTTTTTTTTTAAAAGCTTGACCAAACAGCTCAACTTTCTAAGATAAGCATCTTCTTAAAAACAAATACATTTGGGTTCACAGAAGCTTTGACCAAAAGGCTAATAGTTCAGTTACTTTAACATAATATGAATGACTTAACTGTTACAATAGGTAAAATTAAGTAAGTTTAACGTAACCAATAATAATTTTATGACTTTACTATTATTAGCATGCCACCCAAGCCTTAGTGACCAAAATAATCCTCATTTATTAAAGAGAGAATTATACATAAGTACAACTTATATACATACATAGCAATATAATAGCTCACTCACAACTTTACAAATCTATAAACCAAAAATAATAGGCCAAGGTACAAAAAAGAGCATTTTTCTGTTTTTTATCCGGCAGATGAGTTTCATCAGGACTATTATCTGATTCTGATGAAGTCTTGGAATCCTTTGATTCTTGCGTCTTTGATCTTTCTCCCAATTAGTCTTTACTGGTCTCTCATGTTATATCATCCAAAAATCAAAATATAAAATTGCATGAGCTGCTTGCAAAAGTTACAATTATATAGATACAGTAAAGAGTTTGAGCTAAGATAGACTGCGCATAAGAATCATCAAAAATATTGAGCATAGACAAGTTTGTAACTTTTCCTAAAGGATTCTTTCTCAAAACTGATAAACAAGATAAAATACCGAGTAACTTACTTTTTTCCAACTTTGCTGATTCAATTTATATGGTAAAATTAAAAAACTTTGCTGCAAGTTCGTGATTTGAAATAGAAATTAACAAAAGAAGTAGATTTATACATGGATTGTTCGAGAAAAAGTAAGAAAACATTCAAAATTTTAATTTCATTATACATGTGCAGTACATGTATAATGATGTATAGCTATGTGAAGAAGAAGAAGAAGAACGGTGTATACATCCTTATACGCTGAAAAATATATAATTATATAATATTATACATAAATGTACACATCTATACATAAATGTACATATTTATGCACAATTATACAATATAATAATGTATATGTGTGTATAAACAACGATTATACAATATCTACACTAGAAAACACCTTTGTTCACTATTACACCTCCATTTCAACACCAAAATTACTAAAAGAGAAAGTTTTTTTGGGGAAGCTTCTGAAAATTAAAGAGAAGAGAAGATTTTGATGGAAGTTGTTTTTCTTTTTCTTAAGGAAGTAAGATAAATCACTTGAAAATCGTCTAAATATAACATCGGAGCTTTGCACAAACATAAAAATAGTTTAACTTTAAATGGACTTTCTTTCAGCAGGACAAAAACAACATAAAGTGGGTAAAAAAAATTGTTCGCCGTTGGAGATTCATTCTCCAACAACGTTGTTGACTTCGTACCCTGAAAATTGAAGGAAAAAATGGGTAAATGAGGCAATCCACCACCGGAGATTTATTTTCCGATGATATCGTTAATTTTGCCCCTCTTGATTAACTTTACCGTCGACCTCTTTACTCTGAAAATTGAAGAAAGAAAAGAAAATGTGTAAAAGGAGACCGTCCCGTTCTCTTCTTAAGGATAGGTTAAGGATGAAATTCTTTTTACATACTAGATACAAAATGAACCATGTCAGGTAAAATTTTAAAATGTTAGCTCATTTTGATTTCGAGGTTGTGCCGACTAACATAGGATGTAATCCTTTCTTTATTAAACAATTTTTTTTCTTTTAAAGGTAACAAAACCCATTTTTTTAAAAGTCTTACTACAATTCATATACTCCCTCGGTCTCATATTATCTGTCGTGTTTTCTTTTACATGCCCCTTAAAAAATATTAATTAGGAAAGGAGTTAGACTATTACACCTTTATTTATGTCTTAAGATAAAATATCTCTTCATTGAATATTTATTCTATTTATGTATTATCTCCATCTTCAAGTACAATTATTACTAAGGGTTTAAAAAAATTATTAATTTTATCTTGAAATTCTAAAATGATAAATAATTTGAGATAACTAATTTTAGTAACCACCACTATTAATATGAGACAGAGCGAGTATTATTAGAACTTTTATTATAATTTCTGCATTACTAATTTCTACTTTTATTATCTATGCAAAATTAATTCTTACATTAAACTGTCTCTAAACCAATTCACCCTCCCTATGTGATGCAAAAGAGAAAAAAGAAAGAAAAAAAAAAGGAGCAGATAAAGCAAGACAAAATACGGCTATCCCCCTCTCTACTTCTTGTTCACAATGTCGCGAGGGACTGATAAGCTACTGAAGAATTTGAAGCAATTCACAGACCTTCAGTACAAGCACTTCACTAACCGCTATGGACAGCAACTCATTGACATCTTCGAATTCCCTATAAAACTCGTTCTCTCCCCTTTCACTCTTGCTTATGACATTGCTGGCTCCGCCCCTAGGGGCTTTGGTGTACCCGAGTTCATCTCTAAGCTCTCTTATTCTGCCATCTTTGTAAGCATTTTTTTATAATTGGGTTTTATGTTTGTTAAAATGCCACTGAGAGACCATGAATTGGAAAGTTTAAATTGTTAGAATTCCCTGAACTGTGTTCTGAAATTTATGTTCGTATGTCACTGAGAGGCCACAATAGGGAACTGTAATTATCAGCAATTTTTTCTGAATGGGGTCATTAATTGTTTGTTTATATGTCACTGAGAGACCGTTAATGTGAAAGTCTAGTTGTCAGCAATTTTTTTCTGAATTGGGTCGTTAAATGTTTGTTTATGTGTCACTGAGAAGCCATGAATCGGAAAGTTTGAATTGTTAGCATATTCAGAGATGCCCGTGAATGGGAAAGTGTGATTTTGATCTTTTTCTGAACTGGGTCTTCAAGTGTATGTTAATATATCACAGAGAGGCCATGGACCGCAATTAATAGGATTTTTGGGCTGAAAGTGTTAGTTGGATAAGGTTTTTGCTCACAGAGATATTTGGTTGATTTATTGCAGGTGGTGGCTACTGTGGGTACTTATGATATTGCGATGGAGCTAGGAAAGAAGGTGCTCTGCCAGAGGTGCCCTCCTCATAGTCTCAGCTCATGCTACTTTTTGTTAGATATTATATTTCTGAATGTGAAGTATGTTTTTTTTTTGTGTGAAATAATGAAGTTAATTAATGGGCCGTGTCAAAAGGTGTTGTCTGTAGAGGGCATGAAAGGGTTTATACTCTTGGATCACTCCATCCATTGTCTTAAGGTTTTGGTCTGGATGCTCAGATTTTTTCACAGTCTTGGTGAGTGATTCCATGTTTTAAAAGTGTTGTCAAAGTCTCATTTAGGGCGCGCTTAAGCCCTGAAGCTCAAAGAAGGTGCTTCGCCTCGCTTAAGCTGCACTTTAGTGTAGGCAAGGCACTAAGGTGTGATCATCATTTCCAATGAGTTCTATCTTGAATTAAGTGGTATGAAACAATAAATATAATCAGCAAAGAAGTGTATTAGTTGTTAAGGAGAACGTTATGAATGAATTTGTTACTTTTTTGTCGAATTACATATATATTTTTATATTTATCCTTCATTGCATATTTTTTTTTAATCAAGTTCACACTTTAATTGCGCTTTGCGCTTAAAACCCCATTAGACCTGGAGCGCTTTTTAGAGCTTTTCGCCTTTGACAACATTGGTTTTAATTTCCACTGGCTAAGAGTTTGATAGATATAAAACATTTGTTCTCTTTGCTCATTAGTGGTCTCTATGTCTTTATGCAAAAGCTGATGTTGTAATCACGAATCAAGCGAAAATCCAGAGAGCATCTTATTTTTCCCTACTGATGGGCAGCCGAGATGCTTGTCAAATGTAAAGTCGTTTGGCATGTCTTGTTATAGAAGGTGATGGTATGTAGTTAAAAGAAGATGCTTGGTTCATTAACTGCAGGGACTGTCGGACATGTAACGGATGGCAGGCATTGCGATGCACAATGTGCAAAGGGTCAGGCAAGGTGCATTATCAAGTGAAAAACTATACATTGAAAAGGTAGGTTATCACTGATGGATTTTACTTTTTCTGTTAAAAAAATTCCTGTTCAAATAATATAGTTAATCTAATTTTTAGAATATTATTGCAATGGCCTTTATCATGTTCTAAACTGCATAGAAGATACACCAATCTGCTGTCTTCCCCTTATTCTCCCCTGCCACTGTCCTATGTGACTTTTTTTTGATAATTCTAGTCTTCAGCTTTTGTTATGTCGGATTTGGCAATGAAGCAGTTAGTTACTTGTAGTTGGTAGCTAGCTGCATCACCATTGTTATGTTGTGTACTGAACACTGCCTTCTTGTTTTAAGTGGTTATTTATCATCTTAGTTGTGCAATTCCACCCTCTACCTGGAAATACAGGAAGAAAGTGTCAAACGCACTGAGTACTTATGTCTATCTAAAGGTTCCAAACTGCTCCACAGGGGAGAGAAGGCAACAGCAGAATCCATTGCAGATGCCATAGCTGATAACAGAGCTGAGTTGGTGCACCTTCCTTCCACGGTTGACCTTCACTTGCCACTGCCATCTAAAGAATGTCCAAATTGTGATGGATCGGTGAGAACTGTAACTTTTCGAGTTCTCATAAAATAGCAAGCTTCTTAATTGCTGCAAATGAACTGAGTGAGTCATGCCAGCAAGTTGTTGGCTTGAGAAAGTATCCTAAATGTAGGGTAATAGAATAGGATTTATTCACGACAGCAAGCCAATTTTAAAAATAGGCCTTATTGAATAAGTAAAGCCAAGCCTGACCGGAAAGCGGCTTAGCTCACGTGAGTTATGTTATGTGGACGTGTAAATGTATTTTCGTTTGATTTTAACTGTATTTTGTCATGCCTTTACTAGGTAAAAGTAATGTATGTTAGTTAGGTGCATGGACTTCCAAGATGACTTTAAGTTAGGTGCATGGACTTCCAAGATGACTTTAAGTGCCTAAGTACAATATTAGGTAAATAGGTTTGGATCCTGCTCAAGAACCTTAAGCCCTAGCTTATGAAAGAATTTTAAGATCGCCTAGAGCTACACATTTATCAGCAACCTGATTTGAGCTTTAATATCACCTCAAATATGCTGGATGAAACTTAAGCACACTTGAGTTGGATGGGAGCTTATCCTATTATTCAGTTACCTGGTTAAAGAGAGTGCAAATTATAGGATGCATTATGCTCCCATTTCATCTAGTATGTTTTTAGTTAAGAATTGTATTTCATTCTTGGATACACTGTTTTCATTTATGCCTATGCTTCACAGTGATCTTTCATATTCACCTCTTCCTGGTGTTAAGTGAAAAATGTTCTTCAGAATCGTTTTTGAAACTTAAGCAATTGGTGTTGCTAACAATACTACTTATTTTGCAGGGGGTGATGAAGTGCCCGGAATGCAAAGAGAAGCTGCAAATCAGGATATCTGCAGATGATGTGAGTTCTATTCGACTTTGCCCTGTTCTATGTTCCTTTTTCTTCTCCACTTCTTAAAAACAATTGAGAATTTACATCATGCTTATATAGTGGGTGCATTTTTGGAATTCTACGGCAGTGATTTTTACTTCTCAAGATTTCTTAAGTGCACTTTCCTCATCCATTCCTTTCATAGAAACACTTTGTGATGTGTAAGACCAACTTGGAATTCAAGTTCAGTGATTTTATTGTGTTTGCTTTCTCATATGCAATTTCCCTGTTCTTCTGTTTTCTGGTCATTTGACCCTTTCATATCCTTTTTTCTATTTGTGATAAGAATTAGAGACAAAACCTGCAACCAGCCACGAGGTTTGCTTCTATAAGTGGGAGAGTTTTTTTATCTTGACACCACTTGTTTTGCTCATCCATTTTGTGTGCCTCTAAAATAAAATAAAAAATATGAACAAGATAATGGCATCTGTGGTTGATTTCTTCACAGTTGATAGATGTTTACTTAGAAGATTTCTCTGGCATAAATCTGTTCCACTATATTGGTTAATACCACTGCAATGGAGTACATAAGCTATCTGTAAAGCTGACAAGGACTCAGCATGAGTCACAAAAATGCATCCATGGGGAAAGCTTACGAATCTAGTGAACTGGGAATAGTTTTCTGTACTCTGGACAAAGGAAAAATAGAAATATTGGAAAATAGAACTTGATAAAAGAAAATAATGGAAAATAAAATGAGAGCGAGATATTGTCCCGCTTTTTCCCCAATGGGGTTCTTAATGGCATGAATTTCAACACTAGGGAAAACTTGTTTTTATCATTGCTTTCAGTTTTGATTTATTTATAGTCATTCTAATGTCTGTGTTATCTTTGAATGCTACAGATTATGGAGCCTCCTTGGAAAGCTTATAATATCATGAGAAAGATGGATTATCCTTATGAGGCTAGTGCTTTGTCACCCCTATTTCCATGTTCTTGCAATGAGTTACTGATTACCATAATATGGGGGTTTCCTCTTGCATCTAACTTTCTTTGATATGAAGCTTCTTGTTTGATCTCATACATCACTGCGTGAAAATAACATTTTAAAGAATCTTATGCTTTAGTTGGGAGGTGCAGAAAGGAGGGGAAAATAAAGAAGAATGATTGCCTTCCTATTTTTTATAGAGAAAATCCCTCTATTCTGTGGGGTGTACAGGAAATCAGTTTCTTCTTCCTCTAGTGAAATGATCATCCTATTTACCAAAGTGTCTTGCTCTATTGTAGATATGTGGCACATCTCAGATATTTTTAAAAAAAGTAACATTTTACCCCTTATTCACTGTTGCAGCATATTGTTGATAGTATGAAGGACCCCAGCATTGCTGCATTTTGGTTGATTACCTTGCCTCAGATAGTGGGTGGATTTGAATATGATGATGATGTCAAGCAGAAGATTTGGTGGCAATATAAGGTTTACTTTATCTTATGGTTGTCCAAGAGTGTTTTCTTCGGTTTTCCCTTACGATTTGTAGTAGCTCTGTGAGATTTTGAGCTTTTCTGCAGAGCCATGATAAATGCTTAAATGCCTGTAAATTTTGAGCGCTATTATTGCTCAGTTTGAAACAGGATAGGAAAAGGAAGCCTATACAACAGTCAAGATTACATTCTTCTCTAGTCTTGCTCCCTATGCACTGTAACTATATCCCCAGTGTTCAAAGAAAAATCATATCTGCAAAATTGGAAGGGATAACACAGAACTTGTAGAACTCACTTTCTTATATTACTTGCAAAAACATCAAGCACAATTTACTATATTGGTAGATTGAAGTTTGCCCACTAAAGTATACACAGGATAGTTCCGGACTCTACAATAAGCTTGAAAGTAATCTCTGGAATCTTCTTAAAGTCTCCAAGTGCAAATCATACAATTTCTCTTTGTTTATCTTTTTAATGCGCAAATAAGTTTTGGAATCTATTTGAACATCAAGAGTTCATTACCTAATAGATTGTAAATTTAGGACTTCTGCATGTAGCTAAATACCCATGGCCTGTGGTAGACGCTATAATTTGAGTTGTTTCATTCCCAAGCATGCTTGGTATTCTTTTTCTTTGTGCGGAAACATCTTCATCTAAGCGTACTCCTTTAAGAATTGGAGAATGATGTATCGGCAAGAAATATCATGTTCCTTACTCATCTATGTCACTCTATTCAAATGATTATTTTTTTACAAAATTCTCACGAAAGATTAACCGTAGTAGACTTTCAACTGAAGTCACTAGTTAGCCTTATCCCATTGCTGGGTTGAGATATAGGAATCCGTTTTCTCCACTCATCTCTATTCACAAACATCAACATCTATGTCTTGAGAAGGCTTTCGACCATGTCAATTGGGAGTTCCCGGATTTCATTATGATACAAATGGGGTTTGGGGTAAGATGGAGGGCATGGATCAAGTTCTGTATTTCCTCAGTCAGATTCTCTGTCCTGGTTAATGGTAGCCCGTGTGGTTTCTTTGGCAGCTCTAGGGGTCTCAGGCAAGGCGACCCCCTATCCCCATGCTATTCATTCTAGTGATGGATGCTCTGAGCAAAATGATGGATCGTGCGGCGGGCGGAGGATTATTGAGAGGATTCTCAGCTCCGATCGGGTGCTTAGCCCCCGAAGAGTCTCTCATTTGCTTTTTGCGGATGACACCCTGGTTTTCTGTGATGACGATATGGATCAGTTGACCTACCTAAAGCAGGTCCTGTAGTGGTTTCAGACAGTATCGGGACTCAAAATCAACCTCGGCTAGTGTGAGATTTTCCCGGTGAGGTTGCTAACATTGATGCTTTGTCTTATGTTCACAGATGTAAGGTGGGCTCTCTTCCTACTACTTACCTGGATCTCCCATTGGGCGCTTCGCATAAGGATACTACGGTTTGGAATCCAGTGATCGAAAGGGTTGAGAAAAAGATTAGCAGGCTGGCAGAAACGGTACTTGTCAAAAGGTGGTAAGGAAGTGCTTATTAAAAGCACTTTATCTAGTATGCCCACCTATAACTTGTCCCTGTTGCAAGCTCCTGTGAGCATCACAGATAAACTGGAGCGGTTTCAAAGGAATTTTCTTTGGGATGCGGCGGATGGAACTAGAAAGTTTCATCTAGTTAATTGGTAGACAATTACTTCCCCAAAGAAGTGGGGTGGGCTTGGAGTAAAAGATCTTAGGGTATTCAATAGAGCTTTGTTGGGGAAGTGGCTGTGGAGATTCGGGGTAGAAGAGCATGCTCTAGGGAGGGAGGTCATAGTGGAAAAGTATGATTCCACGGGAGGGGGTTGGAGGACCAAGGCAATCACAGCACCTTTCGGGTGTGGCATGTGGAGGAGCATCATGAAGAATTGGGAAGCCTTCAATGGCAACATCACTTACAGGGTGGAAGATGGAAGGAGAATTAACTTTTGGAATCATAGGTGGTGTGGAGAGGATACTCTGAGGGTCTCTTTCCCCACGTCTTCAGAGTTTCAAACCAGAAGAAATTGATGGTCCAACAGATTCACAAGGAGCATGAAGGGGGTAGTATGGGACATCTCATTTAGAAGGAACATGCAAGTTGGGAGATTGTGGAGCAACAAGATTTGTTGGCACTGCTATATGGGCTAGACAGGCCCCAGCCATCTTGTGATTCTTGGAGATGGGGGTTGCATGGCGATGGTTTGTTCACCGCAAAGTCCTTTTACCGGAGTATGTTGGTGAGAGAGGAGGCCACTTTTCCATACTCCTCGATCTGGATTCCTAAGGCGCCCACGAAGGTGTGCTTTTTTGCATGGCTAGCGGCGAGGGGAGTGATCTTGACTGCTGAAAATCTGCGAAAGAGAGGAATTACACTTGTTAGTTGGTGCTACATGTGTAAAAGCTCAGCGGAAGAAGTTGATCATCTTTTGTTGCATTGCCCTGTGTCCTCGGGTTTGTGGAGGGCAATCCTGAATCTTTTTGGTGTTCAATGGGTGATGCCAAGCACTGTAAAGGAAATGTTATATAGCTGGGCCGGTTTCTATAGAAGAAGAAAGCAAAAGGCGTGGAAGTTCGCACCGCTAGCTCTCATGTGGATAGTTTGGCGGGAGAGAAATAGGAGAGCTTTTGAGGGGATTGAGTCTCCTTTTTCACATCTTAAAAATAGTCTTTTATCTTTGATCGCTTTTTGGTGCACTCATATAGCCGTTACTTGTATAGAAGATTGGGCGTCTTTTGTAGAGACTCATGTTTTGACGTAAATTCTCTACTTTTTGGTATACTTCTTGTATACGGGAGTTTTCTCCCTTTTGATTAATACAATTTACCTTATAAAAAAACAAACATCCACCACTCAGTCTTAAGTTATCACAGGTTTTTGTTGACTTCTTTGTTTTTCTTCTCTTCTTCTTCCCTTCTTTAAGGATTGAATTAACCTAATTCTTTTCAATGTGGATTACTAAGGTTCTTTTAGCTATGGAGGAGTCTCACCATAGAGTTTTATGAGCAATTGAGCTGTGACAGAATCCAGTGAAAAGCTATATGGACTCTTAAACTCATTGAAGAAGATGACTTAATAGTTTTTGTCTATGATTATTAATGAAGTTCAAAAATTTGTGGTATCTTGCGGAATTAGCATATTGACAAGGAGCCAAGATTTCGTTGATGGCTCATGTAGTCTTATTGCATTCCAGGAATCTATGCGATATGATCAACTTCGAGATGTGGTGGCCAAGAGAAAACCTGGATGGGAGTATTTGCAAGATGTATGACATTTTTCTTGTGGTAAATATGTCTTGATAATGGTCAGATCAATTTTCTTGACTATCTTATCTTTACAGGCCTTGATCTCTATTGATCCCAGCCGAGCTAGGGAAGATCCTGTTATTGTGAAGAACATTCCTTACTTCAAGGCCAAGAAAGCTCTGGAGGCAGAAGTCATGAAGCTTGACCCCCCGCCGCGTCCTCAAAAGTGGGGGGTGTGTGTTATCCTCACCATTTTTTTTTTTTTACTATTTCTGGTTTTTGTTTAAATGCCTGCTAATTTCTGGATGGTTCATCACCCTTTTTGGCTAACCAGCAACCTATCTAAATGATGAAGTAAAATTTTGGAAGGATGTTAGAAGTTTATTTTGGATTATTTAATAAATCACTGTTGTACAATAGAGGATTTGTTTTTGCGATAAAATCATTTTATGGGTTGCAACTAAAAGATAGAGAAAGCTCTGCTTCTATCTGCTATCCTATGTCTGTTTTTAAATTCCTCTATAGCAAAAGTTTAAGTAATTAGCTCAGAAGGCTAGCATGTAATTGATTTATGGGAAAATTCTCTTGTTCTTCTATTGTTGTTATTTTCCTAATTCATATGGAGTGATACAAACATTGGCAGGAGTTGAACCTTCCACTAGACGCGTCTTCTTGGAGTGAAGAGGACCTCAAAGATCCAAAAAAACTATATGAGATGACAGTTCTTCTTAATGCCCAAAGAGAAATTGCCGAAAAGATGCTGGATGCTCAGTGGGAAGCAAAGTGGAGAGAAGAAAAGGTTGGTCATCTTAGAGTTTTGTTGAACTTTATGCTTGAGCATAGTTACTGTGACATACCAATATAGCAATTTGCATGTATTGTCCTTTCTTGAGGTATAAAGGCAAATAGGTTGAACATGGAGGTTTCTCATTCTTTTTTCACCCTGTTCAATGTAGACAAATTTGGCCTTTTCCCATAAACATGCACACTTTAATTTTCCCAACAATTTTACTGGTATAACTGCTAATATGGAAAGCAATACTGACCATTTCAAAAAAAGCTGCTATGATGGATAGCTTTTGGCATTGTTGTTCTGTCACAGAAGGGAAAACCTTATTTGGATGTACGGCCCCAGTTTTGTAAAATAATATGTAAGTTCGATATTAGATGTATGGCCCTAGCTTCGTAAAATAACTTCAAAGTTCCATATTAGATGTATATGATTATGTCCCTCTGCTTTGTTGTCCCACTTCCTGTGGCTTCTTTGTCTTTGCCAACTTTGTGAAGTATGCATGGTCCATCATTTTACATAGTGGCTGTACTGAAGTACAAATTTGCATTCTTATGGTGGCTAGCATGTCCCTTCAAGTTTGAACTGGTTAAGCATTGCGTGATAGTCAATATTTCTTTTGCCTCAATAAATAACTCCTTTCCTTGGTGGGATATTCTTCTATTAAATTTATTTTTTACTAAATCCTAGAGAAGTCTCATAGCATACTCTTCTAAAAGTATATGAATTAAGTTTATGAAACAGACTCCAACACAACTTGTAGGGCCGAATATTACAGCATATCATAAAGTTGCACCTTAACTAAATGATTTTCTAGCTGAAAGTTATTGGCTATTTCCTTCACAGCTATATTCTGTAATCTGTAAATTCTTGAAATTCATGAAAACAATTTTAAGAGCATTCTAGGAAATGTAGTCCTTTAAAGTCATATTTCTGGAATGCAGATGACTGGCAATGCTGGATACATGTTTTTTGTGTGCGTAGCTGGTCTCTGCAATTTGATTGAACCTACAATTGTTTGATATATTTTTCCTGTATCTTCGTACAACTATAAACATCTATTTACTGATATTGGTTGCTGATATGTTCTCTCATTTGTTCATATCTCAGCTTAACAAAATGTTGGAGGAGAAGGTCCGGCCGTACATTCAGAATATTGACAATACTGTACTTCCTCAGCCTATCGTTATGGAGTCTGAAAGAAATCAGGATCAAAAGGTACTTTTGTCTTCTCTCGGTATCTAGTAAAAAAATGCCTAAAATGCATGATGCATTAAAAAAATAAATAAGTTGACTTGATAGGAGTGATGGTAAAGTGTGTTAACAATATCCCACTAAAACAGATTGCCAAACGCTTACTTCAGATTCAGATTTCTTAAGACACTGGAAGTACTGCGTTTTAAGATCGTTTGGATATTATGTAAATCAGTATACACCAGCACTTCACCTTTTGCTACACATGAATGCAAATATTTGAATTGGACCATACGAAACATTGAAAACATTGTGGTCGTTACTTTCTGACATAAACTGTCTGCTAGGTGGTCTCTGTTGGATCCTCACTATCTGTTCCCTTTGCTACATTTCCAACGATATGCAAACGGTGTCTAAGGATACATTAGCTTTATTAACTCATTGCTAAATTGGTGCAGAAAAAGCATGGACGAAGGAGATGGTGGTTGTTCTGATGGTCTTCGTTAAAGCCAGTACAATATCTAATGCTTATAGCAGCTTTGTTTTTCTTTTTTCCTGCGCTTTATGTTCTATTCAAGTGTCTGTTGTACGTAGCAAAGTGGATTTGTAGTCTCTCTTTCCCTCCCCTTTCTCTCTCTATTTATGCTATGTTACCCTACAAAACAACAATATGCATAAGCAGACTATATGAATTTCTTCCTAGTCTTTCTCCCTCCTACCTTCTCCTCCTTCCTTTATTATTATTTTTTCCCTCGTAGAGGAACAGTTTGTGGAAGAAAAGATTCCATATACGAAACAGTTCAAACTTGGTTTGCTATTAATTTTTAGTTTTTATTATTTTCTTTTGTCGTTTAATGTTGGGGGCGGATTTGCGTTCTATAACTACAGGTTTTCATTCCCCTACCAAATTAGTTTTCATTTTAAATCGGGAGAAATTCAAAAATAGCCAGATTTACAAGTGGTCATTCAAAAATAGCCACGCTTTCAAAAGTAATCGAAATTTAGCCACTTATGTAAAGATAAATTTGAGCGAAAACACTGTTCAAAACCTGGAAAATACGCCAGTATATTATGCTGGAGTTCTAGCATAAGTATACTTGAACTCCAGCATATTATACTGGAGTTTCAGGATAAGTATACTGGAACTCCAGCATAATATGATGGAGTTCCAGCATAAATACACTAGAACTCCAGCATAATATACTGGAGTTCCAGCAAAGTATACGGGTCCAGTATAATATGCTGGAAGTTCATACACAAGTGCTCGAATCTCCAGTATATTATGTTGGAACTTTTCGTGTGTTGGAGTTTCAGCATAATATGCTGGAAGTTCATACAAGGTGCACCGAACTCCAGTATATTATGCTGGACCGGTCTCCGTTGCAGCAAAATAGTGGTTATTTTTCAATGACTTGGCAAACGCTGGCTATTTTTGAATGACCAGTCCGGAAACTAGCTAGCCCGTGCTATTTTTACTTTTAAATCACCTAGTTTGGCAGGCAGTTGGGAGCAATTGTATCGTAGGCCCTCCCCTCAACTTGAGCATGCAATTTGGCACAAAAAGGCCATTGTCACACCTAGTGTGAGTAGTTGTATCTCACATAAAGGTGGAATTGCTCTATGAAATAGGCTTGTCCTAATTTGGCTGGGCAGGCAATTTAAGGGAAAGAAGGTCCAGAAATTGAGTACTCCTAGAAAAGAAGGTCGATGCTCATGATGAACTTCCACTTCAACTTTTTGACCGAGGAACGAGAACTCAAAAAATAACTCAAGGATATGATAATAACTTAACTGCATTGAATCTTTACGCCAAATTAATAGATGCATGAAATTCTTTTTACCATTTCTTTACGTCAAGGGCATATCGTGCACATGCTATGAGCTCATTAGAACCCATAGTTTTCAGTCATAACTTGTATTTTTACTCAAAAAATTATTAAATTTATACAAATAATAAATTGTGAACCCATTAAATTAGATGAGATATGATAAGATTGCGAATTCAAGCCATAAAATTCAAATCTTGAATCCGCCTCTATTTCAAGTAATATTATGTTAGGTACCAAATGAAAAGGCATACTAGAAACTTTCTCCATATAAATACCAAATGAGGACAAAAACGTTCTTATCTTTATGTCATAACAAGTCATCTCATCAACATCATTTGGCAGTCTCTTATGAGTAGAAGGAATGGTAACCACAAATGCACAATTATAAGGGATCGTCGGAAGTAGTTAACAAATCATAATACAACCTTGAGCAAGTAAAGGACAAAGTTACACGGCATGGATGCATACGCAGAGGAGCCAATTTGGAACAACATTTTGATTCATCTGAAGTATACACATAAGTTTCACTTTGCAGATTTGTACTAATATACAATACACACTTTTTGTTAGCTGTTTTTTTTTATATTTATATATGTTTGACCCAAAATTTAGATCTGGGTTTAAATAATTAGATTTAATAAAATAGAGTCAATTTTAGCCAATATTAGTGTCCAAAAGATATTTTAACCGATTTTGTACTAAGATAATACGTATATTATCTAAATAGCAATAAATGATGATAACACTAGCAATATTCAATGACCCAAAAAGGAAGAAGATAGCATTAAATTATAATAAATAGCAATGAATGGCATTTAAACAAATAAGAACATGCGAGTCACCCGAAAAGGGTGAGATTCGTGGATATTCTTTCTGACAATGATAAATGATTGATGAGCCTTTGAATATCCGGATCGTTCTTGGATCGTGCGGGAAAAGTTAGACAAGAATTTCAAGAAAAAGGTATTTTTGTATGTGTGCAATAAAGCAAGATTCTACAGAGAATGTCAATGTGTTGTCTCACAAATGAATATTTCATGTCTCCTATCACTATGATTTTTTCTATTTATAAGGGAACATGTGCCTAAAAACTCTAATTGTACAGTTACAGAGAATATCCACTGGACTATTCTCTTTAGAGTCTTATCCTAAAACTAGTCGTTATTACTCTTTTAAGACGAGTACTCGTCCTCGACCTTGATCTGCATTGACTTCTCGACCCCGCCCTTCATCTCTTATGAGACCACTTCAACCTTGAGTATGCCTTTGTCGAAGTCATACCGGTGGCACGTGGTAGCCCTTGAAGGACTTCTTAATGCTGATATGGTCTAATCATAACTAAGATAATTTTTGGCCCCCATAGTTAGTCCTTCCGTTTGTTGAGGTCGTCCTCGCGGGCGAGCTCGATAAGCGGATAATGTCGTTCATGGTCGAGCTTGTTGAGTAGATACCGTGGGTCGTAGTCGTTGTAGCGAGCAAGCGACGTGGCTCTTCGTGGGTCGTGTGTTTCAAATTCCTTAAATTTTCCGAGTGATTTGTTGGAGCCGTCTAATCCAAGAGAAGGGGTGACGTCATGGTGTCATTCGGCATGATGATGCTTGTTCCCAATGCATTGCATTGATTTGCGCGTGACCTTTGATTGGATCTGCTATTTCGATTCTGGTGCCAATTATGATGAGCTATTTCGATTTTGGTGCCCATTAAGACAAAACGTTTCAGATTTGGTGCCTCAATTTCTATAAATAGGGGTTGTCAAACCCGAATTTGAAATTTTACTTTCCCAAAGTTTTGAGATTTCAAACCTCCTCTCTAAACCCTTCTCCTCCGCTTTGTTGCCCTACATTGTATCCTAATTTCTCTTTCCAGTACTCTTCTTCATTATCTCACAACCATGTCAAACTTATCATCTGATGCTGGTGAAGGGAGTCGTGTCACTCCCTTGGGGGTTGTATTTCCTACTTATGAGGAGAATGTTGCTGCCATTGTTGAGGATGGATCTTTTCCGCCGGAGGAGGAGATACTTCCCTGCAACCCCGAAGCCAGGTCCGGTCTCTAACGATCACCGGACGCGGCACCTGGGAATTTCATATCGACGATGGCGTCCGAACAGTTAGATGAATTTAAAGCCAAGTTCAGCCTCCCCAACCACATCGAACTGATCCCTGCTGAAAGGGACGAAGTTCGTGTTCATCGCCTTGGGTACTGCGCTCTGTACGATTACCCATTCCTTGTCGGTTACTTGCTTCCTCTTCCTACGCTGGTGGGAGAGTTTTGTCGCCACTATGGCATTTGTCCCCCTCAGCTTGCCCTTTACCTCTTCAAAGTCATCGATGCTGACCAAATTTCCCGAGCTCGTTGGGGTCGAAGTGACGCTTCGGCACTTGTTGCATCTATTCGTCCTTAGATTTTATAGGGGGACGATGTTGAACCTTTGCTACCGTGGAGGTAAGTGCTTGGTGGTGAAGATGGACGACAACGCCAGTCGCCGATTCTGGCTTGATTTTATTTATGACAGGATCGAGGACGTCGTGGCTAACAATGACGGCTTCAGTTTTTCTCTTTTCGTCCATTGCTTTTCTTTGCTTATTTTGAGCTAGTTAAATGATTTTTCTTTCCTTGCAGTCAACAACCAACCTCCTTCTCTAGTTATGCGCATTGCCGATTGGGTCGAGTAGATTCTCCCTAATGTCGTAGGGATACACGACTGGCCGAGCTTCTTTAAGAAGTTTAGATCGGCTCGCCCTTTGACAGGTAACTTCTATTCCCTGGCTGTGATCGTTGTACCTTTTTGTTATTTGTTGGCTCTCTTTGCTAACTTCTTTGTCTCTTACTTTCCCAGGTAGGGTGTCTTCTCGAAGGAGTCGGGCACATGTGCCTTCTTTTTGGAGGAGGAGTACTATGCCTTCAATTTCTGCCCCCGTCGTGGCTGCTAAGACTGCTGTACCTGCCCCTATCCCGGTTGTTGCAATTTTTGGTTCTTTCTTTATCCCGACTGCTTCTCCTGCTCCTCAACTCTTCTCGCTGGTTGATGAAGATGATGACCTCTCCCCCGGTGATGGAGATCTAAGGCCTCGTAAGAGGAGAGCCGTAGACGTCGGAGGAAGGTGGTAAATGTCTATGGTCGTCGACTCAATAGAGGGCGACTTCGTTCTTCGATAGACGGCCATAATACATATTGGAAAAGTACTGGGGCAAACTCCGAGGCCCCACAACCTGAAGAGTTGAACGTGGACGCGCTGGTGCATCCCGAGGGGGAAGCGATCGATGAGGGGGCTTCTGATGGAGGCCTCGTACTTCCGAAACAAGAGGAGGCTTCATCCTCCAAGGCTGCAGTAGGTGTCTATTCGTCAATCGGTGATCGAGGAAAAACCGTCACCGAAGAGGACGTCAGATTTGATTCCGACATGGACCTGGACGAGCTGAGAATGATTGATGAGGGGCTCATTCAATTTGAGGTGAGGATGGAGGGGGGGGGGTCTAGGACTGTCACGATCCCTATGGATCGTAATTTGCTTGTGAATATCGAGGATGTAGTGCCTACTCTCGGTCTTCTCTATTTTGAAGCCGAGGGCGAGACCCTCAAGGAGATAATCGACGATACTTTGTCGAAGAACATCGCCGGTCTTACTCTTAGGTAAGTACGATCGGTCCTTTTCCTTATGACTTAGCTTTTTTTAGGCTCTAACATCTTTTCTTCTGTTTTATAGACGTTTATTCTGGAGATCGAGAGTGCTCGGCGGTGAAGAGGCATAAAGAAATTTAAGTGAAGCTGAAAGACAAATATACAGTGTTCCGTAGAAAGTACCGGGAACTTCGAGATCGGTTTCGTGAAGGAGGAGACGTGCTGGCCTTAAGAGAAGATTTGAAAAGAAAGACGAAGAGCTGATGG